AGGAGGAGGTGGAGGGTTGAGGAGTTAGGAGGAGAAAGGAAACCAGATATGAGAAGAGGAGACAAACATTTTCCTTTGGTACTATAGAGCTTGTCTGTTTCAAGGGGAAGTAGATGTTTTGCAAAGGGAAGGAGACAAAGAGTTGGAGGGAGGTGGGAGACAGGGAAGTAGGAAGGGATGGAAAGGAAGTGAGATGTGCTGTGCCTGTGTACCAGCTCTGCACAAGGAAGCCAGTCACTCTGTACTGCAGACACAGATGAATTAAAAAATTAAAAAATTCTTCTAAACACATGTGAAAAACTATTATAAATATAGACTTCCTTATTTATGCCAGGTTTTTGCTCTGTGGTAATACAGGAGTCGAGGTTACTTTTCTATCATTTTAACCCAATAATATAGCCCAAGATGCAATAGGCTAGAGGAACCTGAGATCAGATACCTTGCTAGTAAGCTACACCAGAACATGCAAAGCTCCCATTCCATATATTTGTTTAGCAGTATGTGCCTGGATGCATTTCATAATCTCAGATGACTGTAAAATAGTTTAGGCTAATCTCACCCAGCTGTAAAATTTTAACCAAAACTTCAAGGTGCCATAGGATAGCAAGAAAGTATTGGGGTTTTTTGGCAACAGTTTAGAGTTATAAAATCCATATAAAGTGGGGACTATCAAACTTTCATAAGACAGAATGCTGAAAATTGATGATATTCTCAATGGAATATCATAATATTGACATAAATTGAGTATATAACAAGATTACAATATAAACAGGTAAAGCAGATGTTAAAAGTTTAAAGTTTATGGTAGAAAGAAAAAAAATATATTCTTTTGATTATTTTGACTTGCTAATATATTCATAATCTATGGAGGAAATATTTATTTGCTCCTAAAAGATTTTTACAACTTGGCCTTCTCACTGACTTTTATAGAACTTCATAGTATCATAAGAATACTATTTTATAAGTTCCCAAATACACCTGTTATGAAACTTTGAGGATTATTTATTTCAATTGTGTGATAACATCATTAGAAAGAAACTGGGAAACTCTGGACTCCATGGAGCAAGCACTGCTCTTGGTCTTTTTCTTCTTTCATGTTGGTATATTTTGTTCCAAATAGACTTCAACCCCATGAAACAAAGATTGGCCTTGTTTTTCTTTGTGTATGTGTTTTTTTAGAGGGCAAAGACTTTGAAACATGTAAATATGTGATGTGTCATTTGACCTGGAATGTGACCACATGGAACGAATTCATTTTCTCTCTTCGGCAGCAGTGGGAACAGGGTGAATATGCCAGTGAACACACATGAGGGCTGTGTGTTTTCAGTAGTGTTCATGCATGGCTGAGAGAGCATGCCTTGTAGAGGCCAGGAGCTCTGCATATATTTTATGTTGCACTCCTGTGGCTTAGTGAGTCCTGCTTTAGCTCAGATTCCATGATGGCAGAAAGAGTGTCCATGTGAGAAAGCAGGTGCTCCCATTCCACAGCCTGCCCTTCAGCTTTGGGAAAGAAAAGAGATTAGAAAGATGTTCTACCTATTTCTGCCCAGTAAAATGTAGAAAACTGGATGAGAAGTGTTTGATTCTCTATCATACTATGTCCTAAGAATTTCTGTTCAGTTAATGTGAAACATTTAGATGACTGGTGGCCCAAGAAATCTGGATCAAGATGGTTTCTATTTGTGTTCTGACTTTTAAAATAGGACTTTAGTGTTAAGACCTCACCTCCCAAAGTTAAAAGGTAAGGTTTAGGTGGAAGACTTTTAAAAATTTTATGGCCCCTACTTCTCACATCCTGAAGAAAGTAAGGTTTCTAACCAAACGGAAAAATTTGTCCCTCTGCAGGTGACAGCCAGTGATTGGCTCACACTGATAGGAAGAAGCTGTGATGCAGAGGAAGGGTGATGCTTGTCCTCCTGGTCCTGGGGACTGTAGGGTGGAGAGAGGAAGAGGTAGGTGAGGGTTTGTCCTGACTTTTTCTCTGTAATTGCAGGCAGGATTAGGTGTTAGGAAAGAGCACTGATGCCACAGGTAAAGGGATACTGTTAGGCTTTGCTTGGATCTGAGCTCCACCAAAGGCCATGGTGGAGGCCTAAGCTGGGCAGTGCCACAGCAGGGCTTAATTTGTCAACAGAGCATAACTAGGCTGAGATTAGCCCTGAAGTATTGCTTTCAGAGGAGCTCAAATAGTTCTTTATCTTTTTATTGCAAAATAAAGCCAAGGAGAATAAGGAGACTGATTGAGCAATCATGTGGCTAGAGAGCCAGAGATAGCCTTGCCCTTTGGGCTGCATTGGTATAAGCTGACACCAGCCTTGGTGTTGGATGTGAAACTAGAGTAGGACACAAGGGTGTCATGTGGTGTGCTGCACCAATGAGGGCCAAGGTGGGCTCAGTGACTGGAAGAGCAGCACTGACCTCTACCTGAGCAGTAAACCTGTGAGTCCCAGCAGGTATATCTCTGCTGCAGCAAGTGCAGTAGGTGGACAGCGCTCAGGCAGCCAGAGATCACCCTGAGCACAAAGACACATGGCAAGGAGAGAGGAGCTGAAGGCTGAATCCCAAAGTCTTCCTTCTGCTGTCCTGGCAAAGATCTGGAGAGACTCAAGAAAACCAAACATTCCTTCCTTGCATATGAGAAATAACAATACCCACAATGATTAGTTAAATCATTGTAGCATTCCATTGTTGAAAGGTAGTTTTGAAACACATTTACTGCATATCTGAGAGGTAATGTATAATATATATAAAATTTCAATTCTATTATACTTACTGAATAAGAAAATAAGTAAATGAAAGAATGAATGAACCAAATAAGATATAAGAGAAAAATGCAAAATGATACTTAAGGTGCTTATATCCAGTAGAATTCCTCAACAATGGACATACTAAGACCTATATCACTGAACTTATTTATTTATTTATGGACTTTTTGAGGCAAGGTCTCACTATGCAGTTCACGCTGACCATGAATTAAATTGTAGCTGAGGCTGGCCTTGAACACACAGCAATCCTCCTGCATTAGCCTCCCAAGTGCTAGGATTACAGGAGTGCTTTACTCTGCCTGGCCAGATCACTGTGTTAGCACTAAGATTCCTTTTCAAGTGTTAGTCACAATCATGGATGAATCAGAAAAAAAGTAAATTATGAAATCGGTACAATTTGCCTTTAGTTCTCCCAGGACTCAATTTTCTACTCAGTTACCTGATTTACTCTGTGTTTTCAAGTCTTACAAATACCTTGCTTTCAAGAAAAACTTGGTCCAATTATTGATGCTAAATAATGATGGTTCAGTAATGTAATGTTACATTAGAAAGAACCAAATTCAAAGCCTAAAGCAACTATATTATGGAATTATGGAAAAGACACAGGAATATAAGTGAAATTATGGAATTATGGAAAAGATACAGGACTGTAAGTGAAAATTTCTACTGCTCATTATGTAAGGCCACTTCTCTGACCTTGTGTTTTCTTTTTAAAAATAATGCAGCACTAATCATTGCTTTACTAATCCCATGTAGTTTTATAAAGACTGAAGGAGACTACATCAGTGAGTGTTCTGCTGCTCTTTAACAGTATAGCTAGAGTCATGATAGCAAAGACCAATAGAACTTATAGGCATCCAAGCAGTTTTCAGTGCTCCTCTGAGATACCACTGCTGGCCATGCTTCGTGAGTCTTTGGCAGTTTTGACTGTGAGAAAGGGAAAGCATTCCAAATGCCCATGAAAGTACTGTGGCTACATCCTTGTTCTTGTTTTCATTGCTGAGACTAATACCCAACACCCAAGTTAAAGCAAAACAATTCATAGAGGTTTCAGTCCATAATCAGCTGGCTCCAAGGCAGGGTGGCATGGAGGAGTGGCATCACAGTGGAGAATCAGTTCATGGTGGGCAGAAGGTAGCAAAGCAACAAGGTGAGTGGAGGCTCTTCAGAGGTGGCTGGTTCTACAGTGTGTGGTGCTGGGATCAAGGGTTCTGGCAATTAAGGGTGTGAGTGCTATACCTGCTCTAGGACAAGTAGCCTGTATGCAATTTAAGGGAAAAGAGAGAGCTGATATGTTCTCTCCTGCTTGCTTCTTGCTGTTATTCCTTGTGTAAGTGCAGTCATGTTTAGGAAATTCTTTCCTACACCTTTCACTTTAAATCTTTTACCTGCTTTATCTTCTAGTGGTCTCAATGTTTCTGTTATTTTACACTTCTTATTGAGCCAGGATCTTACTGTACAGCTTAAACCTGCCTTGAACTTACCTGTAGCCCATGCTGGCCTCTAATAACAGTTATCCTCCTGTCTCAGGCTCCAGAATGCTGGGATTACAGGTGTGCATTGCCATGCCCAGCTACGGTGTTTCTGTTGAATGTTTAGACGTTTGATCCAGTGTGATTTTAGTTTAGTATGTGGAGATATATAAGGGTCCAGTTTCAATCTTCTGCAATCAGATATTCAGTTTCCCCAGCAGCACATATGGAGTCAGCCATCTTTCTTCTATCATATGCTTTTGGTCTCTTTTTCAAAGATCACATAGCTGAATACATCTGGGGATGTTTCTACATCCTGTTCTGTTCCACTGACTCACATGTCTGTTTCTGTTCTAGTGTCACTCCATTTTTGTCACTGTTGCTTTGTGGTGTAGCTTGAAGTCTGGTATTGTGATATCTACTGTTTTGCTTCTATGTCCTGAGGTTATTTTTGCCATTCTGCATCTCTCCTGGTTCTGTATGAATTTTGCGACTGTGTTCTCTAGGTCTGTGAAGTATGCTGTTGGGATTTTGATTGGAACTGCTCTGAATCTGAGTAACAGTTTGGAGAGTTTGGCCATTTTGACAACATTGACTCTGCCTATCCAGAAGCAGGGACACCCTCTGTTTTTTGGTGTCCTCTTCAATCTCCTGCTCAAGAATGCCACAGTATTTTTGTAGAGGTCCTTTACTTGGTTAGATTGATTCATAGGGATTTAATTTTTCTTGATGTTACTATGAATGGTATATTTTAATAATTCTCTCTGAATTCATAATTTCTGTACACAAATACTATTGGATTTTGTTTGTCAAGTTTGCATTCTGTTAAGTTGATGAAGCTGGTTATTAAAACTAATAGTATTTTATGTAGAGTATCATCTAATCTTCAAGTAACAATAATAAAAATTATATATATATGTATATATATATATATATATCTTTTATTTCTTTTTGTCTAACCACTCTATCTAATGTTTTGAGTATTGTATTGAATAGAGTGGTGATAGTGGGCATCCTTATCTTGCTCCTAATATTAGAGGGAATGTTTTTAGTTTTCCCCTCTTTAATATGGTGTTGTGGGACTTGCTGTTTAGCTCAGTTGTTTAAAGTGCCACTTGGAAAAAAAAATAAAATGTCCCTTGGGCAAATACAGTGAGGCACAAGGGACCACGGTTCGATCCCCATCTCCACAAGCCACACCCACCCTTAAGGCAGCCTGAACTAGCCAAAAAAAAAAAAAAGGGAATTCTGCTACAATGCTGTTCACTGTTGCATTGTCATAAATAGCTTTTATGAAATTCAAGAATAGTCTTCTATACACATTTTCTTCAGGGTCTTGCCATGAAGGACTATTGTGCATTGCTGAAAGCCTTTTCTGCATCTATAGATATATGATTGTGTGGTTTTGAATTTGATCTTGTTACATTTATTGATTTGCACAAATTGAACTATCCTTGCCTCTGGAAAAAATATTCTTGGTTATGATGTATTTTTTTGATGATTTGCTGTATTTTGTTCACTATTATCTTTTTGAGGATCTTTGCATCTATATTCATTAGGGGATTTGGCCTATATACATTTCTTTTATAACTTGGTCTCTGTCTGGTCTTAGATTCAGTGTGATGCTGGCTTCCACAGATGAATTTGGAAGCATTCTGTCTCTTTTGATTTCTTTGAAGAAACTGAGAATTATTGGTGACATAACAGTAAAAAGTTTTGCAGAAGCCAGCAGTGTATTCATCAGATCTGGGCTTTTCTTAGTTGGTAGATTCCTTATTCCTGTCTCAATTTCATTCATTGTTAGGGAGTTATTCAGCATTTTTATGTCTTCTTGATCAGCTTGGGTAATTTATATATGCCTAGGAATCTGTCCATTTCTTCAAAAGTTTCCAATTTGTTGGCTTACTACTTTTCATAGTTGTTACTATCTTCTGCATTTTGATAGCATCTGTTGTGATTTCATTCTCTTCATTTCAAAATACAGCCATGTCTTTTGTTTCTTTCTCTTGGTAAATTTGGCTGTTTATCTATTTTGTTTGTTCTTTTGAAGAACCAGCTTTTTAATTTGTTGATTCTTTATATTGTTTTTTAAAGTCTTGATTTTATTGATTTCTACTCTAATCTGTGTGATTTCCTGCCTTAATTTCATTTTGGTCCTTCACTGATTTTGTTTCTCAAGTATATTGAGGTTGCTGATAAATTTATTTGAGCTCATGTTATCTTCCTAATGTGAGCATTAATAAGCTTTCCACCTCAGACTGCTTTCATAGTGCTCCAGAGGTCCTGCTGAGCTGTCTAGACATCATCAATATCTTTCAGAAATGTTTAAATTTCTTACTTGATTTTTTCTGTGACTCATTGCTTGTTTAGGAATAAGTTATTAAATTTCTGGATGTTTCTACTGCCTTTGATTTCTATTTTCACTCCTGGCAATTGGTCTGATTAGTAGACTTTCTAGACCATTTTTCCTGTAATTTTTTATTATTGTTTATTTATTGAACTTATATGATATTTTCAGTGCATTATTTTCTTTTTCAGTATGATGGGTTTTGTTTTGTTTTGTTTTTCTGCCATGGCTATTCTTGAATATTTTCTGGGGTTTCATATGTTATTCTTGAGCTTGTAGTTTAAATAAAATGTGCCTCTTTCTCTGCATTGAAGGTCAGAGTTGCTGAGTATATTAATCTGGTTAGGAAATTGTTTATGCTTAGGACTTGAAATACTTTACTCCAACCTTTTCTGACCTTTAAGCTTTGTGTTGGGAAGTCTGTAATTCTAATGGGTTTACCTTACATGTGATTATTTTGCTTTTCTCAAACTTCTTTTAAAATATTTTTGTAGAATATTCAGAAATTTAATAAAGATATGCTTAAGGGTTATTTTTTCATCTAATTGTTTGGTGTTCTGGAAGTTTTATTTATACGCTGAAATTTTTTCACATTTTGGGGAAATTTTATGCTATGATATCTGTAAAAGCATTAATTCCATCTGCGTAGCTTCTATGTTCTCTTGCTCTGCTTAGCCTTAGGTTGGTCTTCGTAGAGTTATCTAGTAGATTTTCAGTGTTTTTTTTTTCTGTTCACTTGTGTGTCTATGCATGTGCATGTATGGCTGGGTTCTTTGAGTATGTCTTCATAATTTACGATTCTGTCTTCAGTTTCTTATGCTCTGGCCATTTCTGCACTTTATATAGTCTGACCAGTTTTTTAAATTCAGATATTTCTTTTTTTATTTGTTTGTTTTTTGGTCAAACCGGGGATTGAACTCAGGCCCCTATGCTTGCCAGGCAAGTGCTTATTCTACTGAGCTATCTCCCCAGCACCTGTTTCAGATATTTCTGTCTGATATCTTTTTGATGATTTAATATCTCTGGTGACTTTGTCATTCATATTTTGAACTGTTTTGATCAGTTCTCCAAAGTGTTTATTTCTCCCATACCCATTTTGAGCACTTTGAACAATATTACCATGAATATTTAGTTAACTTTCTCTGTGAATGTGCCTCATTTTATCATCTTTACTGTAATCTTTTTGCAGAGCCCCACCATCTGGCCTTTGTGCTTTCCTCTGCATTGTATTCCACTGATCTTCTTTAGGAAAGCTGTGAGAACTTGGGTGGTCTCTATTACCTTGCTTCCCCACAGTTTCGTATGTATGTATAGCTAATTTTTATTGCTTATGATTCCCAGAAAATGCAGATATAGGAGACTTAGGGAGAAGTCCAATTGTCAGCCAATACTGCATTACCTTGGCTGTAGTAGTAAAGGCAGTGCCCACAGTGCCATCAAGTTTAATGCGATATTAACAAACCTTCGGAAGTACTCTTGCACAGCCCTGGAGGGAACAAGAAGCATTTTGGTTGTAGTGAAGACAATCAAAGTCCATGGTTCTAAGGTCCTCCTGGTTATTAGGTACACTGGTTGACCAAGGTGGGCAACATCATCACCTTGTAGGATTTACATTTAAAGAAATCATGCTTTGGGCCACGGAGATAGCTCAGGAGAATAAGCGCTTGCCTGGCAAGTGCAATGGCCTGAGTTCAATCCCCAGTTCTGAAAAAAAGAAAAGAAATAATGCCTCATTATGTCAATTGAAAAGATGCTATCCCCCAAGTTATTGGCCCACATGCTCCATTCAGTCACTATGTGTCCAGCAACAGAACCTGCTTTTATCTCATCAAGGGCAGATCCATGTGCTCTGATTTAGCTCAACCCTTCCCCACCCCCAGAACAGGTACTACTGTTGGTTTCCATTTGCATGGAAAATCTTTTTATATCCCTTTTAT